GAGGGAGAGAGAGAGAGAGAGAGAGAGAGAGGGGGGGAGAGAGAGAGAGAGAGAGAGAGATTTTTTCAGGTATATTTTCCTGGCTTACTTTTTGTGAAGCAGCATAAAAAATTCACAAAGAATGCTAGGGTGTGGTATGAGACCAGGCCTGCTGCTAGTTAAATTTATTACCTAAGAATGCTTTGTAGATAATATTAATTTTAATTCTAAAATCTTACAGATTTGCACATTTGCTTCTTTGACTTCTGTTCAAACTAAACGGATTAGAGATAAGAAAAAAGCTATGAATGATAATTTATATTATCCGCACATGATTGATAAATATGTGGTTTACTTTCCATTCCTATCATCAGCATAAATTTAAATCCTTTTGACATGGATTTAAATTATCAAACTGTTTTCAATGAAACTGCCAAATGTGACAGCATATTAAACAATTTATTCCATAGCCATACCAAAATTTATAACACAAATTGCCATTTGCAAGCCATTGGAATGCATTTTTTCCAACAATTCTATACCACTAACCATGAAGCAATAAACTTATAATATTTAATAGTTTATATGTTGGAATCTCTGAGGTTGAGAACATAAAACATCATCATCTAATATCACCGTAGATCCCGGAAGTAATAAGAAAATGAACGATTGAAAATGTCGGTATGACATTTTATTGACAATATGACATTCCCTTTACCAATAGGCAGAGAATATTTTTCTACACTCTTATCTTGGGATGTCTGCTACGTTTTACAATTTCTTTCCTAAGAGGTGTGGGCGTGTGTGTGTGCGCTATCAATAGCAGTTTGCATTCCTAGAGATTTTAGATAAGGGTTTCCTTCTAAAAGGCTCAGATAACTTTAAAAAATTAGTCAAGCCAAAAACCCATCCTAATATATTCAATGACCTTATTTACAGCAGTTATGTAAAATGTTGCTGCATAAATCAGAATTTATTATCTAGGGTATTCTCAACTTCTTTTTTAGATATCAAGTCCATGTGGAATGCCGTTATCCTTACATTCTAGAAGATACCTAGATTCTCAGATGTAAATTGATCTAATCTGGGTCAATCTAAATTGTGGGACAAATATAAATCTCAGCAGAGATGGATAAAAAAGGAATTGTTCTGGTGAATGTAATTTGTATCCATCCATCAGTAAAACAAGTGACAGAATAAAATCCAAATTCTTGCATCTATCAATTTATCCCATTTTTCAGTTAATTGGCTAAATCTGATACATATTCTGACAGCCCAATACTGTATTTCTTTTTTTTAAATGCCTAATACAATGCAATACAATAGCAGACTTGGAAGGGGCCTTGGAGATCTTCTAGTCTCACGCCCTGCCTTAGCAGGAAACCCTATACCATTTCAGACAAATGGCTATCCAACATCTTCTTAAAGACTTCCAGTGGTGGGGCATTCACAACTTCTGGAGGCAAGCTGTTCCATTGATTAATTGTTCTAACCATCAGGAAATTTCTCCTCAGTTCTAAGTTGCTTCTATCCATGATTAGTTTCCACTCATTGCTTCTTGTCCTACCCTCAGGTGCATTGGAGAATAGCTTGACTCCCTCTTCTTTGTGGCAACCCCTGAGATATCGGAACACTGCTATCAGTGCCTAAGTGCAAACAAAACTCTATACTTTTAATTAGATAAAAAAGTAATAGCAATTATTCTGCTGTTAAATTTAATTTCCTGTACACAGGTAAAGGTATAGAAGCCTGCCTTGTACTGCTTCTATTTGGTTGTTCTTTCCAGTTAACCTCTAAAGGGGGGGGGGTATAGCTCTCAGTCATTCCCTACTATGCAAATCACACTGAATGACACATAGATCCTGAAAACTACTGAAATGGGAAAGACACTGATAGAAGTTTTGTATGCTCTCTTTGTATACTAGAATTTTACGTTTATAGCTGTTTCATATTCCATTTCTTCAGGTATATAAAGTAAGAGATAAATCAACTGTGTCAACAGATTAAAGATGTATGAATCAATTCAAATATCCCTAAGTGAAAGAGGAAAGAATTTCCCTCCTGATTTTCTCTTTTTCTGTAGCTCCTGTGTTCCTATGAATTTGCTCCAAAGCATTTAAAAACCCTATAGAAGAACTTTGGAGATAGAGAAAAGGATCATAAACAAAAAGAAAAATTGCAAATGTGAACTCAGGGAAGCCTACACAAAAACAAAAGCCTTCTGTAAATGCATTTACATGTAGTTGACTTACGACCACAATTGACCCCAACATTTTTGCTCTTAAATGAGACACTTGCTAAGTGAGGCTTGCCCCACGTTATGACTTTTCTTGTCACAGTTGTTAAGCGATTCACTGCAATTGTTAAGTTAGTAACATGGTTGTTAAGTGACACTGGCTTCCCCATTGACTTTGCTTTTCAGAAGGTTGCAAAAGGGAATCACATGACCTTGAGATACAGCAAGGGTTGCTGTAGTGTCAAGTGTCTGAATTTTGATCACAGGATCACGGGGATTCTGTTAAAGTGCTGTTGTAACTTTGAATGGTCACTAAATGAACTGTTGCAAGTCAAGGACTACCTGTATTTGAAAAAATATGTGGTGTAAAATGGTGGGCTAACTATGAAAATACAGCTATATCTATTTTAAGCCCAGAAAAGCAAATGTATTGTACATCTAGCACCTTATACCTGCCCAACATATAATCAATGCTATCAACCTCAAGAAACTACTTACAGTGAACACAGAAAGTATAACCTGCCCTGGGAGGCTTCACAGCAAGAATTACAGGCCATTCTCCTATGCCTATGATTCACTGGATTAGGAAAAGCTTAACAAACGAGGCTCAATTTGAGTGTCTGAGGCTCAACAATAGAAG